TTTGTGTGGACCTGAACAGTGGTGTAGATAGATAGATAGATAGATAGATAGATAGATAGATAGATAGATAGATAGATAGATAGATAGATAGGTAGATAGATAGATAGATAGGTAGATAGATAGATAGATAGATAGATAGATAGATGTGTGTGTGCGAGCGTGTGTATGTATGTGTGTGTGTCTGTCTGTGTACGCAGTACGCAGAGACGTCAATTCTAGGTGTGTTCTTCGTTCAATTGTCTTCTGATGTTCTGTTGTTGTTGTTGTTTTTGTTGTTGTTGTTGTTGTTGTTGTTGTTGCTGTTGTTGGTGGTGGTGTTGTTGTTTGGGAGGGGGGGTATTTTTGGTTTGGGGTTTCGGGGGAGGGGGGTTGGGTTTTGTTGTTTTTTTGTGTGTTTTTTTGTTTTTTGTTTGGGCGGGTGTTGTTGTTTTGGGGGTTTTTGTGCTTTCAAGTTGGCTCTGGAACGACAGCGAACAGGCACGTACTCTTCATGCGGATTTTCTCCCTCAGTGTGACCGTGTCCACGCTTTCGTGAGGTTTGGACATCATTTTCTGTCGGAAAAAAGGATTGGGTTTCAGTTAGTAAGTAAGCGTATAGTTTTACAGCACCAATCAACAACTTTATTTTAGGTTAACCAAGAGGCGAACTGGCCACACTACCACAATATGCCAGAGGCCAAGGAAGTTGTTTCACTAACAAGGCAATCCCCAATGTCCGATTCGGATGCGGGAACAACTTTTTTACTTTTTTGTTCAAGAGGCAGGACATCCGAGTTTAACGCCCGTCTTCGATCGGATCGGGCCAAAATGAATTAAGAAGAGCTTTGAAAACTCCACCAAACGACTCGAGGTCAAGAGCATCCAATCTGGGATTCGAACCAAAGGCATCCGCTCCGTAGTCCAGCAAGACACAAGGTGAGGTAATTGGGCGCTCGATCTCAGTTAGGTTGGAGTTAGAGAAAAACACACCGACTCAAGAACGATCCTTTAGAGAAGGCGTGATGAAAATACGTATTAGGCTTCTTTTAAAAATAATACCCATCACCAGTCCTTGATCCCCTAAAATAATGTTAAAAAGATGCTGTCAATTTCATTTCAATCATGGAATGTTTAGATAACTTGTTGTGGAAAATATAATATAGGTCAACATTCCAGGTACACGCAAAGTGGACACGATTCAAGAGACGAGCGGATTTGCGAAATGCAGTCAAACACACATGTGACTAGAGCTCCTCGGAACTGCTCGACTTGGTTCCAGTAGCCAGAATTGGAAAAATACCGGGATACTGTATTGCAAGAACACCGCACACACGGCACCGTCTCTGCCATGCAATCAGCACGTAACGATACGGCTTGCATTGCCTCCAAGGCTTCAAATATCCAGCTGTGCGAAACTGCTCTCTATAATCTCATACATGTATCTGTGCATGAATTTTCATCAATCGAGAAAAGCACGAAATCATATAATAGATAAATCTAAATATAGATCTAGATATAGATCTAGATTTCTAATTATAATTGGTGTGTTTATCAATGGAGAAAAACCTCAAGATTCTACAGTAGATGACAATATCTATTTTACCGGTTTTGTTTCAGCGCTCCGTATTCAATGACTGGGTTATTGAAAGAGTTATGTTTGTCTGGAGACTTGTCAAGTTCTCCTGGGATCTAGTTTGCTGCTTCGTGCAGAAGTAATCGCATCTGACACCGGATGGAAAGCTTTCCCCATCGACTCAGACGCCAAAGCTTTGAGATGGCAGCATTGATGGGGTCGAGAGTAAAGTCAGAGGAGAAATTACACCCCAAAAAAATAGAGATTACGTCATTGGGATATGTGCTTACTTACTTTTAATTTTAATAACATTAGGCTCAATAGAATATCATTATGTTTGGCATCGTGGTGAAATCAGGTGTTCATCAATTTAATGACATTGAACAGACCTGCATTTTTAGGCCCCTTAGGCAAATTTTTAGAAATGTTTTGGCTCAACACCTATTACGTCCTATCTATAACACATTTCTACGTTAATGTTTTTATTTTCTAAAACGTTGATCAAAGTCACAGAAAATTAAATTTGCAGTTTCCGAGGACACTCAAGCTTCGGAGGTCACCAAACTTAGGGAGGGGGGGGGGGGGGCATTTCCTGTCCTTAATTTTACCTTAGACCCAAATCTCCTTCAACCACAAATATCTCGACTACAATTTTTTTTTTTATATATTAAAAAACAGATAGGTACTTTTCCACCAAAAACAAGACAAATAAACAAGCTTTTATATTATGCCAATAACTCCACAATACGCCATGAAATCACTTGCTTGGTTGTAGAATAGGCGTCATTGCAGACGGTACAATGCCATAGCTGCTCCTCCCTCCTCTCCTGGATCCATGAAAGGATCTGCTTGCTGATATGTCAAGAGATATTATCTGGCCCTCATTTCCCGTGCTTTTAGGTCGATCCCGGCGTGACAGTCAAATGGACCCATCAATTCCTTGGCCCGCTTCCCATTTCAAAAGCAGGATTATAGATTCTTGCTCTTTATCAAATTTCTTTTTTTCGGGTTTTTTTCTGAAATAATTGTCCGCCGGTCTTATGAGAAAAAGATGTCACCGTACAGCTGGTACCTAAAATTGACTCCTTTCACCTTCTTTTCTGTTCTCTAGCAATGTTCTGTCGTCTGCTTTCGTCTCCACTTTCTTCCCCACCCCCTCACCTCCTTTGCCCCCTCCTCTGGGCTTCTGGCTCTTTCTGCAGTCTTTCTACTGCTACTCCTTTGCTCCTTCTCACTTCTGTCTTTCAGCCACACCCATGATCTTCCAGTAGGAAAGATCTACACCCAGCCTTCTCGGACAAGGGAGAAAAATCTCGGAGGTCCCGTGTGCAAGTTGCGCACGTTAAAGATCCCTTTGTGGTCTAAAATCAATAAGAGTAGGCTTCGACCGTCACCCGGGCAAAATTCAAAACTTCCTACAAACTGAAAATGTTTAATGTGACCCGCGCGCTCAAGTGACCTTATGCAGTTGCGAGCGCCGTAAATCACTTACCCCCC